TGAGATAATAATTGTAAAAGAGATGAGCGCTCAATTTCCTCATCTATAAAATGAGATGGAGAAGGAAATGGCAAACCACTCTAGTATCTTTGCCAAAAAAAAGCCCCACATAGAGTCATGAAGTGTTGGACATGACTGAAATGACTGAAAAACAACAGCAAATTGTAAAAAATTTAGCATAGTTCCTGGCATAATAGTAAGCACTAGATAAATATTATCTATTATTAACGAATCATGGAATTGCAGAGTTAAAAGGGGCTTTAGTAGTTTAATTGCTCATATAATAGTAAAGATCAGTAATGTTAAGTGGTTTGCCCAAAGTCACATACCCAGTTAATGGCAGAAATAAGGCTAGCCCCCAGTTTTCCTGATTTTCCCCAATCCACTGCTCTTTTCATTATGCCAGGGATTTGTGAATTACTTTGGGAGACTCTAGTCACTTATTCACTAAAATTGTCAAATTTCTTATGATGACATTATTTATATTTTATATAACAAGTCAATTTAAAAAGTGGAACATGTTCCATCACTTCTCTGGCCTCAATCAAGAAAGTAAGAACTAAGTAAATTTAGGCTTTTGTGATTTTGAAAATAACATGTTATGATTGTTAACACTTATAGATTATTATTAATGAGTAAATCATAGGAACTTTGAGGGATGATGGAAGTCATTTGATTATATGACCATCATTTAGAAATAATACCTTCAAAACTAATGGCAATATATCATCATTAAGGTTTTTGTTGCTGGTAATAATAACAACAAAATAAGGGTAACAAGAATACTCTTCATCTTTCTAAGGAGAAAGGGAAATGAATATTGAAAAGAATTTTAAAATGGCTTACACTATGAATCTCAAGTTTCCAGAAATGCTTAATAACTGAATTGGGGAGGGCTATCTTAGTCTCAGTTGGTTTTGTAATAGCACGATCATTCGACTATTTTTATATGACCCAACAACTGGTCGGTTTAGTAAAAGAAAAAAAGTCACCTCAGGGAAAAACATATGTCAGGCCAATGGATTGGTGTCTATAGATCAAACACAATCAAATGACCAAGTTTTCACTTCTTTGACCTCATACAGACAGCTTAAATGGTTCCGCATTTGGATACTGAGGACTGTTGTTACTCTGAAAGAACAATTATGAAATTTAACATTTTTCTTTTTTTTTTTTCTCCCTTAAGTGAAGAACATGTTGTGTTAATGCCCTTCTTGGACTGAATGGTGAGGAGTTTCTCTCAGGTTAAAGAGTAATTTAAATACACCATTTGGTTCATGTTCCATCCAAGTAGAACTTACAAGATCTAATCTTTTCTAAACCTGCTATTTTCTTCAGTTTACTAGAGCCTCCTAATTGTAGTTATTAGTTCTCTCTTTTATGTGGTCTTCTCCGTCAATAGACTATTGAGCATACAGTAAATTAAGCTCAAACCAGGGGCCAAACATATTGTGGCAGACGTTAAATCATAGACTTGCTGACCCTTCCCCCACCTTTTTTGGTAGTACACGTGAAGCAGCTTTTAAGAGTTAGGGACAGGATTCAACATGATGCACATTTGTGTCACTTATTTAATATAATATAAAAACCTGCTGGCCTCTCATATTACCAGCCTGCTCAATCAGGTATGTCAGCTCTTTCTAGGCAACAGGTGTGTTCTTGAAACAAAGTTCAACCCCCATTCTTGGCTCATGGGAAAGGCAGCAGCTGCAAGCTTAATGCTCATGACACATGGCCTATAAGACACAGAAAAAATAAACTACTTGTTCAGAGTGTTAGTAATACACAGATGGGCTATGGCAGCCTAGATTTTCTGCTATGGACTTACAGCCTAAACTTTTAGGAAAAGGTTTTGTATTTTTTTTTTCCAGAGTTAGCAGTTAGAAATGTAAATTTATTTAAAAATCTATTCCGTAGACGCAATGATCATATTTTAAAATATGCCCTCATTTGAAATATCATATACAAAGATGATTATGAAATTCTAACTGATGTTTGGAGGGAAGAAAGTATTGATCACCAAGGTCATCCACATAGTGACTGAACTCACTACAAATATCCTATATATACTTTACATGTAAGATACAATACAGGTCCTCAAGGTTCTCTGGCAAGAATTTTTATGTTTTTGTGGTAAGAATTCACTTCTTTTGGCTTTGATGAGAAATTGCCGATATAAGGTATTATAGAGTACTGGGTAACTCTGAAGCATAATATGCATTTTAATATTAAAATAATGATACAAGAATTACTTGAAATGGCTACAAACAGTAAGAACCATACAACACTAACAAGAGCTAAGAGATCCCTAAGTTTAGAATCTCAGTTCTAAGATTAGAGCTCAGCCTAGAATCTCTTATTTGGCAGGGTTGAGATCAATTTGATTTAATAAATATTTATTGAATGATACCATCCCATTTTTTGTGTTAATATATCATATATAACCATGTCACAGAAAGTGAGCAGCATGATGATTATTTTTAACCTATCAGAACCCCTTTTAAACACAAAACCATCAATGGGCAAAATCTAATACTTATATTGCATTAAGCTATTATTGGAGTTTCATGGGGAACACTGATCTGATACTGATTCTCCCTTCTATCCCAACTGCTCCCCCAGGTAGAACATTTAAAAAAAAATTTCCAGCTATAACATTTTAACTAACAAAATGAGGACAGTGATAACAATTCTAGTCTCTTTCAGGTACAAATGCACCCTCTTTAAATGTGTGTGGAGGATTATAGAGAAATTTATTGAAAAGACTAGCTGCAGAGGTAACCTGAGATTCCCTGAAAGGTTTATATTGGAAGTCATAGAAATAATTGAGGAACTTAGAGTTGGATGGAACCTTGGAGGACAACCACCTAAGTCTAACCCCTTTATTTTACAGACGGGAAAAGTGAGGCCCAGAGAGGTGATATAGCTTATCTGAAGTCCACAGTAGGACAGCCATCATTCAAACTCAGGTCCTCTGACTCCAGATTAAGGATGTACAATTAAAGAAGGTACAATTAGGGAAGGATGTACAATTAGAGAGAGTTCTCTACATTTTAAAACCAGGAGAAGGTTCTTCCCAACATGTGTGCCGATTTCATACTTGCGTATCTACTTGGTGGGTTCACTACAAATTCTTTAGTTCAGAGCAACTCCAGCCAGTAAACTTATGCACATTTGGTTAGAACTGTTAACTTGAAGCATTAATATTGAAAGCCACAAAGGACTTAAGATATCACCTCATTCCCATTCCCCATGCCTTTTTTCCTCCCATTATAGATGAGGAAAAAGAGAACCAGAAAGGTCACACAACTCATTAGAAGCATAACTAGGATTAGAATTCTGATTTCCTGACTCTAGGTCTAAAGTCCTCTGCACTTCACCTTACTACTCCAAAGTAGAAGTGAAGAAGTAATGATTATAAATACCTTTGCTTCCTTTTCTGCCTTCCCCTCTCCCACCCACTAATCTTTTAGCTGCTGTGGCACCCTTAGGCAAAGCAATGTACATTTATTCTTTTTTAGATTTACAAAGGAAGGAGAGTTAGAAAAAAATGCCAAGACTACAAGATAGGTGAGTTGTGTGTGTGTGTGTTTTAACTTGCTCTCTCCAAGCCAAAGTTTTACTTGAGAATCAGGTTTCTTGTTGCATTTAATACTACTGTTAGTGCCAGATCTGACTGGCTGCTGGAAGATCTATAGGCAGACAGATGTCTGAGCTACAATCCTTGTGAGCACCTTAACCAGAGAAAACAAAGGCAAAAGAAAAATGAAGGTTCTGGTGAGCATATTTATTCCTTTATTCATTTGCTTCCTGGATCACATTTGCGGCAATTGCAGTCACATGCCAACTGGCCAGTAGACCATTTAAAAATCTGTAAAAGCTGAAAACATGCAACAAAGAACAATAACACAGTGACCCTCTTGGATAGAGCAGGATAAATACTGAAGTTACTAAAAGTCTGTCATCTGAATCAACAGCATTTAAGCAATCTCTAAGCTAGGGATGCTAAGCTTGGAGATTCTTGAAGTTTGTAAATATGTCTCATCTGAATCAAAAGAATTTAAACTGTCTCTAAGCTAGGGATGCTAAGCTTGGAGATTCTTGAAGTTTGTAAATATGTCTTGTAAAATATTTTGATAACAATATTTCAAGGCAAGTGATTTCCTTTGTAACCCTATGTAATTTATTTTATGTACTTAAAAACATGATTCTGAAGAGTCCAGAGGCATCACCAGATGTGAAAGGGGTCCATGAGACCGACAAGGTTAAGAAGCTCTGCTCTAAGATCATATTATGAGATGGTCTAGAAGCTGTAAGATAGCCCCATTTGAGTCAACATTGGCTTACTGCTATACTTCCTGGGGAACAGAGCAGCAGTGGGGCAGTGGGGAAAGGACAGGACAGGTGATTTAGCTGTCTCTTAGCTGGGACAACACATACTTACATAGTCCTTTCAGGTTTAGAAGCAAGATAAGGTAAGAAGTTCAGTTATTTCCATTTTGCAGATAAGGAAATAGACACAAAAAGGTGAAATTGTCACCAAACTAGTAATTGTGAGAGCCAGGATGTGAATCTGGGCATTTGGATTCCAAGTCTAAAGCTCATTCCAATAACACATATTGCTATCCTCCTCCTATCAGAACTACCATGACCACCACTACCACCACCACCACCACCATTACTAGCTCTTTGTATAAAGAACTCTTTATATACATTTTTTTATTTGATCCTCACAACAACCTTGAGGGTAGGTATCTTCCCTGTTTTTCAGACTGGAAAACTGAAGCTTTAAGAGGTCCTGGGTCACAAAACTAGAAAGTGACAGAGGGAAGATTCAAACCCAGGTTTTCCTCATTCTAAGTCCAGAGCTCTATCCACAAAACTATGCTTCCTGGAGTCAAGCCCACCATCCCAAGAGGTATCCACTGCTCACCAAGCAGTGGCAGTGGTTACCCAAGTCATTCTCTTAGCATGAAGCAACAAAAGCGGGGAATACTCACGTGAGCCTCCACATCCCCAGCAAGGATCTTACTGTTCCTCAGAAACTCAGCAACCATGCCATTCATCAGCTTATCAAAAGCTTCCACGGAGGGCGAAACACCTTTGAGAGAAGGATACTTTATTACTCCCTGGTTAGCTTAGGGAAACAGCTGTTACTATCTTTCCTTAGGTAACAGGTTTAACTCATCTTGTTCATGCAATCATTCATTTACTCCCTCAGTATTTATTGAGCACACACAAGGTGCATGACTATATCAGGCAGTACAGCTTAGGTGATACACAATACAGTTATTTGTTTTCCTACTTTTCACTTTCCTCAATGACAGCTAGTGTAACCTAGTTGCCATAATAAAGCCTTGCAAATCCTCACTACTAGGTCACTCACTTAGGAGACACAAGGATCGCAGAATCATAGAATCATCAGATATTAAGAAGTAACAATCAGTAGTACTCAGTTCATTGATTGCTTATTTTGTGCACCATGCGTCCATGTGTGTGTATATGTCTATGTGTATACTTAGGAAAAATGCTCATGTAGCTAGCAAATACATGGTACATAATGTCATAACAGCTAAAGTGGAAATGATCCTAACCCTCAGGCGAGGATACTTGTGCATCTGAATGGCATAAAGGGTTGACCTTTTTTTTCAGCCATTAATTACAAGGGATTTCTGGGCTTTTTCATCTGAGATGTTTCTGTGTAAGTTCCTGTTGAAACCTCGATTTCTGTTCATAACACCTCATGAACAATCACTATTCCACTAAAAATGCATTTCTTTAAGATCACATTAGTTGCCCCTGAGGGAAACAATACCTGTTTCTGGGGTCTTACCTGTTTTTTTTTTTATTTAACTTGGAAACCTCAAATACAGCCCTGTTGTCCTGTACAAAGCCTAAGAATTCTTGTTCTAGGTGGTTCAGTGTCTTGTTCATGTTCATACATGAAAGCTAGTAAGCCAAGAAAACTAAGATCTGAACTCAAATTTTCTGACTCCAAAATCAGGGTTCTTTGCATTATCTCACAGTGACTTCCTAAGTACAGTCCAGAGCCTCTCTAGGAATAGATTCAGGAATGGATTAGATTAGGGATTCCAAACCTGGAGCCTACTGCCTTCCACCCCAAGGGATTCCTGAAGAGGTTTCAGGGGGACATTGAATTTATATGGGAAAAATTATATCTTCAGTTATCAAAAATATTATTTTGAGAATAGGTCCATAGGTTTCACCAGACTGCCAAAGGGGTCTGTTTTACACACACACACACACACACACACACACACACACACACACACACACACAAAAGATTAAGAATCCCTTGATGAGATGATCTCTATGGTCCTTTCGAGCCCTAACAATCCATGATTATGTAACACTCCTAACTATTAGCACTAGCCCCCAAATTTCTTCCCAAATCTTTAGCAGATATTAAATAAATCTATGATGTCTTTGTGAGAAGGTTGCCTGATGGGGTTACAGCACACATATTCATTAGGGTTGGAACAGGGGAGGGGAAGGTGCATTAATTTTATTGAGTTTCCCACATAAAGGAAGGTACAGTGCGAATTTGTTTTCTAAACAATTTATTACCGTAATCATTTTTAAATTGTTATTTAGCTACAAAACAATATAGTTAAATTACATGTGTACATTAAAAATTAATTAAGGGAATTTTTAAAGTAAAGGATATAATTCTAAATTGTACTAGGCATATTATTTCTCCACTAAAGTCCTACTCTGAAGAATCTCTGTGGTTCAAAGGTAATCCTAGATTCCTAGACGTTCTGCTAATGGGAAAAAACTGGTAGGAAAGGCTTTCAGTATGTGTTGGCAATGTATTGTGAATAGTTGGCGAGAGAAGAGAAGAGGTACTGTGCTGTGAGGAATAAGATAAATAATTACTAAGAGTAAACTAGAAGAACTGTTTTCAGAACTGGATGGATAGCTGGACCAAAGAGTTGTCATTCATGGGTTCACGTCAACTCGGAAAGAGGTCTCTAGGGGAGTGCCACAGGGATTTGTGCATGCATTGGTTAACATTAAATCAGTAATTTAGGTAAAGATATGGATAAAATTGTGATTAAACTTTCTAAAGACACAAAACTAGGAGAGATATCTAACACAAAGGATGGATAACAGGACCATAGATTTAGGGTTGAAATATACCTTAGAGTCCAACCCTCTCATTTTACAGTAAACTGAGGCCCAGAGAGGGTGATTTATCCAAGGTAACACAAGGAGTAAGTGGCATAACTATGATTTAAACCCAAGATAGCAGAGTCAGGATCCCCCCAAAAATCTCTACCGGCTAGAACATCGGGTTAACTCTATTAAGGTGAAATTTAATGGGGATAAATATAAAGTTTTACCCTTGGTTTTAAAGAAGTGACTTTGCAAGAATAAGGAGGAGACATGGTTAGAAAGCAGTTTGAAAAAGATTTGGGGGTTTTAGGTTCAATATGAGTCAACAATGTGATATAGTAGCCAAAAAAATATAATGAGATCTTGGGCCAAATTAAGAGAGATATCACTTCCAAGAAGATGGAAGTCATAGTTGCACTGTAGTCAGCCATAGTTAGACTACATCTCAAGTATTGTGTGCAGTTCTGGGTGCCTCGGTTTAGGAATGGACATTGATTTTTGAGCTGAAAGGCAACCAGAGGAAGGTAATCAGGATGGTGAAGGGCTTCTGAGTCTATGCTATATGAGGACTCAAATGAGTATAACCTGGAGAAGATAATACTCCAAGTGGGGGTGGGGGCACAGAATAGCTATCATCAAATAAATATGTGAAAAGCTGTCTTGTGGAAGAGTCATTAGCTTTTTTATTTTACCACAGAAAGCATAACCAAGGTTAACAGATAGAAACTGCAAACAGGCAAATTTAGTTTTTTTTTCCTTTAAAACCATTAAGGTTATTTAAGTGGGATATGATGCCTCAGGTGGTAGTGAGTTCCCCCTCAGTGGAAATCTTCAAGTAAAAATTGGATGACAACATGTCAGGTTGTTGTATCGATTTTCCTTCTAGGGACTACATGGCTACGGAGGTATCTTACAATATAAAATCATGTGTTTCTGTGATTACCGAGCATATCAAGAGCTCATATGAGGCAATTTCACACAAATCTCTAGCAGGTGAAGTCAACTTGATCTCGTGACCTTTCTAATGACTGTAAGAAGTTTTGGAGAAGAAGCAAAAAAGTCAGATAGGGGAGGTTTCCAAGGGATGAAGATTTTGTGGTTGGGGATATTGAATGATCATAGTACCAAGGGATTTTTTTAAAAATACATTTTCATTGATATCTTTTGGTAGCCCCCAAATTTCCACAAATATCTCTCCCTACTCCTAGATGGCCATCCTATGTAATAAATAATTTTTTTAAGAAAAAGAGAAACAAGAAAATAGTCAGTAAAATTGATCAATACATCAAAAAAAAGTCTCAAAACTTATGTGATGTTCTAGATCCATGGAATTCTCACTTCTGCAAAGGAGTTGGTGGGGAGGTGTCTTCTCCTACCTCTTCTTTGGGTCCATGTTTGTTCTTTGAAATTTTCACTTTTGAAAACATTTTGAAACATTCACTTTTGATTGCTTGGTGGTTGTTCTTTCATTTACACTGTATTAGTTATTTTGTATACTGTATTCCTGGCTCTGCTAACTTTAATCTACATCAGTTTATGTAAGTTTTTCCATGCTTCTCTGTATTTATCACATTCATCTTACTATTCAGCATAAAAATATTCCATTACATTCATGTACCACAACTTATTTAGCCATTCCCCAGTTCTTTGCTCCTACACAAAGTCCTGCTATAAACTGGTGTATATGCAGCATTCTTCTTATCACTGAGCTTCTTGGAGTATAATAGCTAACATTTATATGGTGCTGGGCCTGGCAAAACATTCTAATTTTAAAATTATTATCTCATTTGGTCCTCAAAACAACTTTGGGAGAGAGATGCTATTATTATCCCCATTTTACAAATGAGGAAACTGAGGCGAACAGATCTCTTCCTGACTCCAAACTCAGCACTCTATCTAGTGTGCCATCTAGCCACCCCCTAGTATATGACTAGTAGTGGAATCTTTGGGTCAAAAGGTATGGATATTTTAGTCATTTTATTTGCATAATTCTGAATGTAGCAAGGGTTTCAAGAGCATTAACATTAAAGTGGCAAACCACAGGTTTAAGGCTGGGTACAGAGTCAAGTGAAGCCAGAATATCTCTGTATCTCTCTGTCCCTCTCCTGCTCTCTCTCTTTCTTCAGATATAGAGAGACACACAGAGACACAAAGACAGAGATAGAGACAGATGTAGACAGAGACAGAGACATACAGACAGAGATAAAGAGAAAGAAAGCTAGAAACAGAAAGACTGAAAGTCAGAGAGACAGAGATGGAGAGAAGGATGAGAGAAAATACTGAAGGTCATAATAAGGACAAAGAAATTGTGAGTGAGAAAGTGGGAGAGGAAAAAGTATAGCAAGTTATGGCTGGAAAAGAGTAGACTTTAAAACTTCAATGTGTTAGAAATGGTACAATTCTGAGATGTTGAGATCTAAAGTATGACCATACTGGGGTGCAGCTGAAATGGAGTAGAGGAGGTTTTTGGGGTTAAGCAGGTTAAGGAACTCTTTGGGCACGGTGTCAGAGTAATTATTAAAATACTGAAGTCTTTGAGGAAGATGCTGGGGAGATGGAGTACCAGATACCAAATACATAAAGGAAATAGGTTAGCAAACTGTTGCCTAGTTGTCCTTAAGAAACCAGCTTTGATGAATAGATAAGAATGATTTAGTGTATCAATTATACATAATGTGATTGCAACAGTTTGTTCTCTTGGATAATCAGAGATTCTAAACATCTACCCTAAAATCTTGTTTAATCTATTATTTTCCTTGGTAAATTCCCCTTTTTATGGAAAGTGAAAAAATTCCCTTCAGCTCAGTCCCTGTCTGAGTAAGCATGGTCCCAATTCATGAAGTTTTATCTTATTCAATGGCCTTTCAGAATCATCTTGTATTTGGACTTTAGTTTTCTTTTTCTCCTTTTTTTTCTTTTTGGTAATCTTGGTCATTTGTAGTCAGCTATCTTTAGAGAAATGTCTTGTGATCACCTGAGGTCTATAGCAGAATAATGAAACATGCTGAGTATAAGACAAAACAAAAATATTTTCTTACAAGTGCAGATTAATGACTCTCATGTACCAACTGTGTAGCTAACAAAAAGACACTTAAAATGAAACCATAGATATGTCTCAGTTGATGCAGAGAAAGCTTATGGGATCCTGGCAGATTTCCCTTAAACAACATTCCCTTTTTCCCTCAAAGCCAATTCTATTTTATTCTGTTCAGAATTTAAAAAAAAAATGAGCCTGCACATTTGTGCTCACACAGTAATTTTTGTCTCCGGACATGTAATACAAGGCACAGGGCTAAGTAAGCCTGAAATTCTAGAAGCACTAACATAAATCTTGCCCCGTGAAAGCTTTTTCTGACCCCCAAAGCTTTTCTCAATCTGAAGTTGCCTGAAATATTTCCAAGTGGGTATGACATGGAGGAAATTTAAAATGTGACAAGGCAAGATTGCAAAAAAAGAATCGGTAATGACCTAGAGAATTTGAAAAAATACTTTACCATATTACTAAACGTGATACAATTTTTAAAAAGAACTCTGTATTTTTAAAAAATTTTAACATTTTTAATGAAGAAAAATTCATTTTCTTTCTCTTTTTCCTCTCTTCGCATTGGAGGCAATAAAAACAAAACTCTTGTAAAGAGATATGCATAGTCAAGCAAAATACATTTCAGCTTTGGTCATGTCTAAAAAAGTATTGGTCTCATTCTGTAACCTAAGTCCATCACTTCTCTGTCAGGAAGCATGTAGCAGGGTTCATTAGTGGTCCTCTGGAATCACTGTGTTGATCAGAGTTTTTAAGTCTTTCAAAAGTGTTCCTTTTCACAACATGATTGTTTTTGTATAAATTATGCTCCTGGTTCTGCTCATTTAATTCTGCATCAGTTCATATAAGTCTTCCCCATGTTTCTCTGAAACCATCCTTTTTGGAGAAGCTAGGTGGCACAGTGGATAGAACACCAGCCCTGAAGTGAAGAGGACCTGAGTTGAAATCTGACCTCAGACCAAACATTTGACACTTACTAGCTGTGTGACCCTGGGCAAGTTGCTTAACCCCAAATGCCTAAAAACAAAAAGCAAAAAGAAACCATCCTTTTCATAATTTCTTCTGAACCAAAAAAATATTTCACTACATTAATATAGCTTAATTTTTCAGCCATTCCTCAGGTGAGGGGCACCCCTTATTTCTAGTTCTTTCCAACCACAAAAGTATCTGACAAAAAATTTTTTGTACATATGGGTCCTTCTCCTCTTTCTCTCATCTTTTTAAAAGGGACCTAAGGCCCTGAAGTCTTAATAGCATGTTTGCTTATAGAGTAAAACAACTTTACAAGGTCAAATAAAAGTAATGTTGAAGTGTGCTTTATAAGGAATCTAGTCTAGATTGCGCAGAAAGAATGAGGAATCCATCTTTTCTTCATCTACCCTCACCTGAAGGGCTTGTGAAAAAAGGAAAAGTTGAGATGAAGTCTGTGTTTATTCTGAGGGCTGTATGAGGTAGTTACTTTTTAAACTCCCTGAGGCTTGCTGTCCCTAAACATAATGATTCATTTTCTGTAAATTTCAGATGTAGAGAACTGTATTTCTTTATGTTCTCTTTGACAACTTTTCTTTCTTTTTAAAACATTTCTCAGAAGTCATACTTAGTGCCATATAGAAATTGATGTATGTTATGTTTCTACACATATAAACACACACTAAAACAGAAAAAAAACACAGTAAAGTCTAGAAAATTGACAATGCTCTTACTGGTCCCTAATATTAACACTCCCTTCAGTAGTTCATAGATCTTTTTGTTTTCTTTGCTATAGAAATTACTTTCAAGCTTTTTTGTTCAATTGTTTTTTTAATTTCAAAATTTATTTATTTATTTTTAGTTTTCAACACTCACTTCCATAAGCTTTTGAGTTTTACATTTTCTCCATCTCCCTCCCCTTCCCCCTCCCCATGATGGCATGCAATCGGATATAGGCTCTACATATACATTCTTATTAAACATATTTTCACATTAGTCATGTTGTAAAGAAGAATTAGAACCAATGGGAGGAACCATGAGAAAGAAGAAACACAAAAAATAAGAGAGAGAGAGAGAGAGAGAGAGAGAGAGAGAGAGAGAGAGAGAGAGAGAGAGAGAGAGCAAATAGCATGCTTCAATCTGCATTCAGACTCCATAATTCTTCCTCTGGATGTGGATAGCATTTTCCATCATGAGTCTTTTGAAGTTGTCTTAGATCCTTGTATTGCTGAGAAGAGCTAAGCCTATCAAAGTTAGTCATTGGTTCATTGTTTTATGATAAAAGGGGAGGAGTAAATTGCAAAGATAAGGTAGATTGCTCAGTTCTAAATGAGGTAGCAAAGAGATCAGTTTATATTATAGGATATAAGTTCAATGATGCCCCTTGTTCCTACCTCCATTGACTCCATTCACTGTTCCACATTCCCCATGAGGTCCAGTTGACCCTGAAAACAATGATTCTAGGCGGATTACAGCTTTCTCCAGCCTTTCCAGCAATCCCTGTGTTTCTGCCATTCTGAAAATAAAATTAACAAAAATGATGCAATATCAGTCTTGATGAAGAATAGGAACTTAGTTTTAGGATATAAATGGTAAGAAAAACAACTAGAACTCAGAAAACTTTGCCAACAGTTTCAAAGGGACTTTCAGACTTTAAGAAAATGCTCAGTTTAGACCACAAAAGTCTGAATGGGGCAGGGGGAGGGGGAGGGAATGTGATATATCTAGTCTGTTTTCTATCCACCTGGCCCAAATGAGTCATTATGTCACCATTTTACCAAATATATATTTTTACTGATTTTCCATTATAAACTAATTTCTATTCACATTTACATGTCAGGCAAAACAGCATTTCTTAGCATTATTTATAGAACTAAGAGGCATCGGTTGATGGATGAACAAAGAATTAATATTAGTGTCTGAGAGGTCTAAGGTAAGAGATATAAAAGGTATTTTGAAATTAAAGACCTGTATAGTTTAAAAAAATACATCTCTACAATTAAAAAACTTATTAGCAACTTATCTATGGTCAATCACTAAGAGTCTCAGCTGCCACCTCATAAAATTTGTTTCATTAAGGCCAGAGTTCAAATCGTCCCTCAAATATTTACCAAATGTATGACCCTGGGAAGGTCAATTAACCTTTCTCAGCCTTGGTTTTCGCATCTGTAAAATGGGGATAATAATAACATCTACCTCCCACATGAGGATAAAAGACAATGCTTTGGAAGCATTTTGCAAACCTTAAAGCATTATATAAATAGTAATTATTGCTACTACTACTACTATTATTGTTGTTGCTATTATTTCAAAAGCATAGACATTCAAAGTTGGGAGGGAAATGAAATTCATCTAATCCAATCCCTTTGTTTTGCAGATAAGGAAAACTATGCCTAGAGAAGTTAAGAGACTAGGCAATACCACCCAAGTAGTGAGTGAGGGTAAGAGCTGGTACCAGGCCCCAGATCTTTTGTTTCTTCATCCACTGACTACATCATGTATATTGACACTTTTTTTTATAGCTGTTACACAGAAATTTGCTTCAAGTTTTCTTTCTCAATTAGTACTAACTAATCTAGTAACATTATATATTTCCCTTTCCAGTAAGGTCAGAAAAGGAATTTTTAAAAAGTGATCTAGCCTCAGGATCTATTCTACTAAAAGATCACCTGCCTCAGTTTCTTTTTGTCTCAACACATTTAGTCCCACCTCTTGGCAAGTCCATTAACTTCTCAGTGCTCTAGGACAGTAGTGTCAAACTCAAATAGAAATGAATCCTTTCTGGCCACATATTGACTTAGAAAACCACAAACTAATATTATGTCTTACTGTATTTTTACTTATTTTGTTAAACATTTCACAACTACATTTTAATCTGGTTTTGGTAGCACTCAGGAGTTTTGTGGGGTAGCTGCTAGTTTGAAACCTCTTTCTAGACAACTCTAAGTCTACAAGTTGTAGTAGAGAAGATGCTGACCTCTATCAGTAGGCAGTTCTCTCACCTGGAATTTTTCCATGCCAATGAATCACAGGTCTAGTCCCTATTCCTATCTCCCATCCCTGAAAGTGTTCAGTTCAATAAGACAGGAATATTTCAATTTCTTTCACATGTAGCTTCTCATTACACATAAAAGATATGACCATATTCAAGGTATTTCAGCAATTTATGAAAAAAAGCACAATGATCTTGTCTAACCCACTACTTCCAAACTGGATAAGATCAAAGATTATTTTCAGTACAGCTAATAATCATAGTCTTACATGTAATAGAAAACATTGTTCTCCATAAGACTGTGGCAAAGCAGAATGGTCAAAGTTACATCCGATTTGCTTACTGTCACATAAACAAAACTTGTGTTCACCTCTTATTTAAAAAGAGTCAGACATCCAGCTCAAAAGCAGGTCACAAATATTTTGTCTTGCTAATTGATAAGGAGTGCATTCATGTTGCTTCCAATAAATCATTCTGTTAAGTGTAAGTCCTCAAGAGACAGCAAACCAGCTGGTAACCCTCAAGTTTAATAAACTATATTAAACCAAACAGCCAATAGCAACTAGAGCTAATATAATAATTGTACTTATAGGATCCACTAGTTGTGGAACATTTAGAACGCAAATAGAAGCAAATGTCTCCAGAGACTGATCTTTTTTTTTTTAATGTATTATTAGATTGTGTACATTCTTCCTCCTGCTTGATTATTTTTAAATAACTGGTAAATAATTCATTTTTGGTTTAAAATACCCACAAGGGTTATTTCATTTTTTTTTGCAATGCTCTTGGTTTTTAAACAAAAACTGGCTTTTAATTATGATGGGATAGAATAATTTGAGAGTGCCCAATATCCCTATAAAGATAAACTGGGTATGAAGCTGACCAATACTTTTAAGGAAAAAAAAAGGGCAATTAGATACCCATCTAAAAGTATCTTAAATACCTCCAAAATTTAAAGAGTGGACAAGGTAGGGACCTTCAAATGCTGGTCCCAACAATTATTTCAATAACAAAGCCTTGGGGAATCAAACAGGTCAGTGGAATTAGGTCACAGCCCAGAAGACATTAAAAACAGACCTATAACAGACCACAGCCTAGAGTGTATGAGAGTGCTTCTCACTTTCAAGAACATATAAACCTCCTTTCACAAATAGTGTAATGCAAAAGAATCAAATATATTATCCACAGGCCACATGCAACCCACAACATTACTGAGTGTTGCAACAGAAACAGATTAAAAAGCAACTGGGAAATATTTGACAAAAAATATAAGAAAACATGGAAAATATTAATATGTAGTTTTCTAAGTCAAAATGTGGGCTTCAGGAATCTTTAGGTATTGCTTAGTGGCCCCTGCTTCTATTTGAGTTTGACACTACGGGGTATAAAGTCTCATTCTGAACCAAATGAGGCATTCCTGTGCTGCACAGAGACTTTGTTATTCTAAAAGGTGGTCTGTCCCATGGAGTCAAAATTTCATGTGCAATAGGATGTAAATTTAAAAAAAAATTTCTTCTAGGAACTAAGTCACACATGCACTTCTCTACTTTTTATTCCACTGGTCTTACATTGACATTTAGTTCAACTGCTATGGCCACAATTTATTATTGCACTTTTAAAAGCAAGGTTATACTTATGAAACACACTTACAACTTTGTTCCTTCTTGACCAAGAGCCAGAGGGTAATCAGATATGAATGGTGGATATCACTATCTATTTTGAAAAGTCCTCTACTCTGCAAATGTGGTAGTGATGCTTTCAAAATATGGGCCACTGCAGATTGCATTGCTGAAATTAGAATCTTATCCCAAGAGCATTCAGAATTAGAAAGTTCCTTCGTCTATTCTTTCCCTTTACACGTCAGAGCTTTTGCTTCTCTCTCATTCGGAAAATATATTTTTAAAAAAGGAACATAACTGAATCCTCTACGTAAACTTTATGAAAGGGAAATGGGTATCTGTGGGCAGGTGAAGACCATTGGAGAAATGACGAAAGCTCCCCTAGTCTTTTAATAGTTGCCCATCTGTTTGCAGTTGCCTGAACTCCGTTGCTTAACCTGCCAAATGCTGCAAAAAGCCAGCCCATGACAGGGGAAAAAACCCCTTTAATTTTTATAGGAAGAATACCTCCCTTTACTCTCCATTGCCCCTCCCCCAACCAACAACCACAAAATGTCAACCACCCACAGAAGCTCAGACTGCCAGCTGTTTGGGGAACACTTGTTTCATCTCATGCTTTGTACTGCTTGGTATGTTGGAACCCTAGACAGCCACACTGTTATGCCCTCACTATCTTTAATAGGAACTCTCTGTATAAAAAACATGACAGGGTCTATAAACAACAGTAGGGTGGGGGAACAGACAAGTTATCCAAGTGAGGACCATAATCCTCTGAAATCTGAGGGGCCTCTAGAAACTCAGATGTTTCTATAATTCAGAACGAGGAATATGAACGGCAGTTGTGTGGCTGCATCTTTCTGTGAGGTCAAAAATGTACCATCTATTCTACAGCAGGGTTGGAGATGCCCTTCAGTTTAGACTTAGAGTACTGCAGAGCAGCTGTACCCATAGGAAGCCAAAAACATATTCCATGGAGAGACATTCATACAGATGGAAGGATACACTAATCCTACAGAAAGGCATATCTCTGTATGCTCAGTGTGATCATGACTGCATTCAACATCTGCTTTCTTTCTGTTCGAAAGTCATTTAGTCCATCCTCTCTCATTTTATACAACAGGAAATGATGCCTAGAAAGGTCAAATGGCCTTTCCAAAGTCACACAGGTAGTAAGTAGCAGTGCTGGGATAAGAATCAAGATATCCTGCTGTCTGACACTCCTCAATTCCCTTCCCCTGCATATTCATGCCCAGTGCTTTCATTGCCACAATGAATGAGAAGAAAACAGCATCGAGTCTAGTATCCATTCACGGAAATCGTCCCACATTTCTCTGAATTGATAATATTTGCTGTTTCTTACTATACAATGCTATTTCATTACATTCATATAATTCAGATGGTCACTCACTTTACTTTCAGTTCTTTGCTGCTATGGAGTGTGTTGCTGTTCTGAATGTTTTGGTATATAGTAGACTCTTCTCCACCCACCCCCCCATCTTGGATTTCCTTGCAATATATACACACTAATGTGATTGGGGGTGGGGAGAAGCAATGGGTATGAAAACTTATAATTTTTCTTCCAAAGTTCCAAACTGATATACAGAATGGTTAAACTGATTCATAATTCTACTAAATAGTATGTTGGCATGCTTAGTCCCACTAACTGACTGTTCCCTGTTTTGATTCATCTTTGCCAAATTTGCAAATTGTGAAACAAAATCCCATTTTAATTTCCTTGCAAGGATTTTATTTACAATTTTTGTTTAAATATTCATCAATGAAATTGGTCTTTATTTCTCTTTTACTATTTGATCTCTCCCTGGTTGGAGCATCAGGACCATATTTGGATCATAAAAGGACTTTGGTAGAATGCCTTTTTGTCTCTGAGAGCAGTTTTTGAAACAC